ATGTCAGATCTTGTGAATATGAAATACGACTGAAAGAGCCCCAGCCAGGCTCCGATAGAGTGAAGGGTCCTCGAAAGAAGCGTCAGAAGAGGCACTAAGTTTCGGCTTTGTGTCAACTGGGGTCAGTGATGGCTTACATGAAGACATACCGGCTCGATCAATAATCTATGTGGCATATTTCTTCAGTGATAAAAATATACCACCTGCATGACGTGTGACAGCTATCCCCAAAAAATAGTTGAGCACACCTAAGTCCTTCATAGCAAACTTGGAGCTAAGAAGGGTAATGATAGACTTACGAAGCTCATCGGATGAGGCAGTCAAAATAATATCATCCACATATAATAAAATATAATCCATAGATGTACCTTTCCGAAAAACAAAGAGTGAATTATCGGACTTAGACTGAGAAAACCCAAGAGTATGAACATAATCAGCAAATCTCCTGTACCAAGCTTGTGGAGCTTGTTTCAGTCCGTAAAGTGATTTCCTCAACAAACACACATGATTGGGTTTTTCAGGATCCCAGAACCCCATAGGTTGATGCATGTAGACGGTCTCCTTAAGTTCACCATGTAAGAAAGCATTGTTGACGTCAAGTTGATGAATTTGCCAAGCTTTAGATAAAGACAGGCTAAGAACTGTGCGGATAGTATCTGGTTTGACCACCGGGCTATAAGTGTCACCACAATCCACTCCAACCTGTTGAGTTTTTCCATCACCTATAAGACGAGCTTTATGCCTCTCAAAAGAATCATCAAACTTTTCTTTATGAGCAAAAATCCACATAGACCGAATTAAATTAACATCAGGAGGACGGGGCACCAACTCCCACGTCTTATTTTTAATAAGAGCATCATACTCATCATCCATGGCCTTTTTCCAATTTGGATCACGAAAGCCGACACGGGGTTACGGGGTAGTGAGGATTTTGAAACCTTAGAGAGAAAAGAATATTTTGTGTTAGGCTTGAATATCCCATTTTGACTACGAGTAACTACCCGAGAAGGTAAGACTGGATTGATATGAGGAGTAGGAAGGGGGGGTTGGGCTCGAATGGGAAGGTGGCCCAGTAGGCTGTGTGCTAGAAGGAGGAGAGGAGCATGATGTTGCTGGGCTCAGTTAGAGTAAAGGCTCAGCAGGCTGTGTAGTGGAAGGTTGAGCTTGTGAGAACTGCTCACCGTCTAGGCCGGCAAAAGAGGGAGGGGAGATAGGCTCAAGAATTGGGCCTGTAGGTTGGACGGTATGGGCAGGCGAGTTTGAGGAAAAAAAAAATAGTGGAGCATGTATGGAGACAAACCATCATCTAGGAAATCATATGTGTGTTTTTTAGGGGTATGTAATTTAGAAAAAGGAAATGTATTCTCATCAAAAATTACATGTCGGCATATAATAATCTTTCTAGATGATAAATCATAGCACTTATATCCCCTATGATTAGATGGATAACCCAAAAACACACTAGGAGTAGAGCGGGGTTGGAGTTTGTTGATAGTAGTGGAAGGAAATAGGGGATAACACAAACACCCAAAAACCCAAAGATGAGAATAGGTTGGAGTTCAATGATATATAATTTGAAGAGGAGATTGATAGTCTAGCCCTTTATGTGGATAAGACAATCTAAAGGAAAGACCATGCTTTTTACAGAATTCCGAAAATGGCCCATTATCAAATTCTCTACCATTATCACATTGTATGTTCTTTATTTCCCGTTCAAACTAAGTACGGATGAAAGTTCTTAACTTTAATATAGTGGAATAGGCATCGGATTTATTTGACACAGGAAATGTCAACAAAAATTTAGAAAAATCATCCAACAACAATATATAATATCCATGACCAGATGAACTCAAAACAGGAGAAGTAAAAAGATCAGTGTGAATAATATCGAAAGGCATAATAGTATTAGAATTTGAAGATTGAAACGACAACTTGATATGTTTTCCAAGAGGACATGAATGACAAAAACCAGAATTTCTAGAATTTTTACATTTAATAAATTTATTCTTCCTAAGAGAACTTAAAACATTATCTCCCGGGTGACCCAACCGAGCATGCCATAAAGAAGGAGCTATAACAGCATAAGTGGATGGAGAAGAGACATGTGGCTTGGTGATGGGATAGAGCTCGCCCCGACTCTCACATCTCATTAGTCACCTCCCCGTCTGAAAATCCTTCACAGAAAACCCAAATGGATCAAATTCAATAGAGACAGAATTATCAGTTGTAAACTTCCTAACTGACACAAAGGTTTTTGATGAGTTGTGGAGCATGGAGGACATTTTTAAGATTTAAGGGAGGATGTGGAGATTTTAATTGAGTATGACCATAGCCAAGAATTGGAATTGACTGACCATTACCAACAGTTATGCCATGTTTATTGCTCAAATTAAAATAAGACGTGAGATTACCTTGTCCGGAGGTCATGTGAGACGTTGCACCGGTGTCCATGTACTAGTTCGGATCTGGAGGGGTAATGCCGAGAGTGTGCATTGCAGCTTCTATGTCAGTTGGGGTATGTCCATTGGCAGAATAGGATTGTTGAGGTCTGGGCCCATGAATCCCTTGTTGCTGGCGCTGACCCTGCTGAAAATTAGGCCTAGCCCATGAGCCAATGGGAAAAGGACAAGGTGGTATAGCCTACTGCATCCATGGCCAAGGCCACTGCTGTCCTGGTGCCCAGTGATTCGGTGCCTGCTGCTGACCACCAGAGCCACCTGAGCGGTTGTTGCCGCCACCACTTTTGCCTCCACCGCCGGATCTGCTACTAGATCCTCCTTTGCCACCGCCACGGCCACCAGACGAGTGGCGATTCTTTCTCGAATTTCCTCTCGGTTCTGAGATCGTTTACCACCCGAATTGGTGCGTTGTGAAGAAGGTTGATCTGATACCTTTGACGAATCATCAGGCTCACAGGCCACCATAGCAGAATTGGTGGTTTGTGCCGCCTTTTTAAGTCCGACCTCCTCTAAAACGAGCATAGACCGTGCTTGGTAAAATTGAGGCAGGGGATCACTCTGTCGAATGAGCGTGGAAACCCCTTTGTAAGTCTCAGTGAGGCCCGTCACTAATTGGAGAACCAGTCGACTGTTGTCCACCAGGGAGCCGACATTCTTGAGTTGGTCCGACAACGTTTTGAGATGTTGACAATAAGCGGAGACGTTGGGAAAATTCTCCATTTCTGTGTGAGTTAAATCATACTCAAGGGTTACGGCTCGGGAATGTTTGATGTCTGGAAATATGTCACGCAACCCATTCCAAGCTTCCATAGTCGTAGTGTCGAGTTCAAGAATTATGTTTAACAAATCATTAGAAATAGTGGCATAAATCCACTGTAGAACTGTAGCGTCGAGGGTCGACCAGAGTTCCATTTCTTCCTCGGTCGTAGGAGGCTTCTCCTTGCCTTTCGTCGGAGGAATGATATGATCTAGTACTCTATGAGACTTTGCGTGAATTTTGAAGAGTTCCGCCCATGTTGCATAGTGAACGTTCTCCATCTCAAGAGTGAAGGGAACAAGGCTCTTAATGTTATGGACTGCAAGAGCAGGGTGAAAGGTTGATTTTGACTCACCCATGAAGAAGAAAGAAGAGAAGAGAAAGGAGTAGAGGCAACAAGAATGGCGCTAGAGTGCGGAAGAGAAAGGTCAAGAGCTTTCCCTGGAAACTGATACCACGAAAGAAGATAATTCCTAAGAATATTATGAGCCTATCAATAGGCAATATATACACTATAATCAACGTATACTAAGGCTATAAAGTAGGACCTAACTTCCTACAATTAAGGGAAGATAATATACAATCATATACAATGAGCATAATTAACTAATATACACTAACAGAATATATTGATGCTTATCAATATATTCTAACAAGATGTTTGTCGTATAAGCCGTAGCCAATGAGCACGGCTTCGACTTGAGTCTTCCATGAATGATAGTTGCTCGATGTCAGCGTGATCGAGTTAGGGATTGAAACCTTGATAAGAGGTTTTGAGGGCTCATTCATGTTTGGGATTAGAATGGGGTTGTTATCGTCGTCGTTGGAAATAGTCATGGATTATTGATTGTAGAAAACTAACTAACCCTAACTCCCTAAGATATATACGTTAAGCACTCGATTTTTTTTTTCTTTTTAACCATCTTTTTTTTGTTAACCATCTAAAACATAAGTATATAGGATCTAAAAGATAAGCACTCTGTTTGTTTGTTTTTTTTTTTTAAATGTAGTCATGTTTTTATGTGGTCAAAATAATGTCTTCTTTTAAAAAAAAAAAAATCCACAAATGGAAACTAATCAATAAGACTTGTGTAAGGCAGACTTACATTAATTTTAATGTAAGACGGTCAATTTAAGGGTAACTTTGACAATTTTTATGGTAACTTTAAGCTTGTTAAGGGTAACTTTTAATTTTTATAATATTGATTATATTTTAATGTGTAACTTCTAAATAAATACGGAGTACATGTTTTGAAAGCTAATTTGATTAATATAATATATTATAATTTCTTTATTTTTAAGGGTTAAATTTTTATTATAAAAATAGTAACTTTTGTAATATAAAAGGGTAACTTTAAATATTTTTAGGATGACTTTAAATATTTAAGGTAATTTTAAATATTTAAGCCTTAATTAAATATTTTAGGGTAACTTTAAATATTTTTAAGTAACTTTAAAATTTAAACCTTAATTAAGAATTCGTGGAAACTAATCAAGCCACATTCGTTGACCACATTCCTTGTTCCTCGATGCTTGAACCACATACGTTGACCACTACCTTCCGCACACCCAAACTTGCTGCCAGCCTTAACCCCACACTACGTCTAACAAAAATAAATAAATAAATAAATGATGGAATATGATTTGTTACAGAAAACAAAAAAAAAAAAAAAAAAAGTTCCCTTTAATTGTTTTCTTTGCCTTTCCTCTACTATTCAAGTAAACAATTACTCGGTATTTACGGAATGAGAGAGCTCGGTAAAAACAAGACAAACACCAGAGACTAGACCAAACAATGGTGATGCTCCCATAATATTAAATATTGTACTTCAAAATTGCTTACCAATAAGTCAATAACTAAGGGTAAAGAAAGCAGAGAAATCTGAGTTTTGCTAACACATACAGCGAAAATTTTATGAATCGAAATTAAACGTATATTAAGAAGCAGAAGATTGCAAAACAATGACAATCCATGTACACTTACCTGCTAAGTTATCAAGCTACCAAAAAGCCCTCGAAAAATTCACAGTGAGGGGAATTTTCTCAAAAAAAAAAAAAAGTTTCTTTTTCAATTTTTCCCTCTCTACCCCTCCATTTTGTTCATCATGTGGGGAGAAAGGGACATATCATGCCCGACGTACACTAATCCAGACTCTATACATCCCAGCCATCCTTTCTCTGGTTAAACTTAGACTTTCTGTTAGACAAACTTCCATACCACTCTGAAAACATTGAGAGGCAGTCACTCCTTTTCTGGTAATGCACATCAGTGTTTCGACTAATGGCAGCACCGGAAAACTTAGAAGTATCAATTGCCCAAGCGGGCTTGACATATTCAACAGTTGCAGATGAGCTCGCATTAGCATACAAGTAATTCAACAGAACATCTTCGCAATTAAAAAATTTATCCACCACTCGCCTTCCTGCCTTGGCGGCTTCACTCCAATACCTACCAAAAGCAAGCTGGGTGTCCATGAAAGCTGCTCCTGTTAAAATCATGTTATATCCTTTCTGCTTTCTAGCATACTTCTCGGCCCGATATTTAAGAGGGTTCCCATCAGCAAGCCGTGGATAGAATCCTACAATCCGATCTGGATGCTCTCGCCATACTTTAAAACCACGCTCTATGTCATTACAAGTCATCATGATGTCATCATCAAGCTCGAGAATAGCACGAGTCTTGATCAAAGGATCAATATTAAACCGATTGTTGAGTGAGTTCAATTTTTCTACCCTAATTCTGACAGGTACAGCAGAATCAAATTCACTTGGTTCAGGAGCTTTACCTTTGTTCCAGACCACAACAATTTCCCTTACTGAAGAACACCTTGAGTAGTGTTTTACGTACATCTTCAAATTCCAGAGCCGAGCCTCATATGTCATTGTCAACATAGTGAATTGTGAATAATGACCATTTAATAGGTAAGGCTCCTCTGCACCGTTTCCACCATAAATGTATGTGACCCCATTGCACATCAACACCACCCCTGTTATAAAAGCTAGGAGAAGAACCAGTTTTCCAGTGAAGGTGTTGGGTCTTATCCAGACCCGTAGAAATGTATGTACTCTATTCAAGCGAAAAGAAAATTGTCTAAATTTGGAAGACAAAGTGTTTGGTCTTTCCCAGCCTGACAAAGCATCACTTCTCTTCCTCAAGTTATTTGGGCACCAATTCAGAGGGACGAAGCACTTTACTGCTCCCATAAGCACACCTAACAGCAAAACAAGTGCAGCAACAGCCAAAACAGATGTACAGCCAACAATAAACCGATCAACTGAGTCACCTGAAGGCACACGGTCCCCATCCATAACTGCAATCCACTCCCCAGAACCAAGCTGCTGTGCATCAAGGTGGTGGTGTCGAACCCCATTCCAGGCATTGCGGCCCTTTTTGGACTCCTTAAAGCCTGAAGGTACTTCAACCTCTTTGTAGTCATCCTCAGTAAGTATTTCCACCTTAAAAGTACGAATTCGCTTCCCATATGTTTCTCCACAATCTTGGCCAACACGATAGAGAAAACCATCATATACAAAAGGTCTACCTCCATTTCGAGCTCCAGAGCTCTTTTCTTGGTTGTGGATAGGGTTTTTCTTGTGGGGCTTCCATGGCCCGAGAGGTGAATTACTATACCATATTTCGAGCCGCCCATTCTTTACAGCACCGAAACCACTATGATCTGAACCAAAAATCCAATACTTGGAACCATGTTTGATAAGAAAGGAATCAACAAGTGGTTTCTTCAGAAGGACTTTCTCCAAATTCCACTGCAGAGGGAAGCTAATAGCTCGGTAAAGTCGAAGTTCTCCATTCTCACTACTCTCCGGCATCATGTATATCTGAGAAACAAAGATACAGTGTGTTAAAGAGTTATACTATTGCCAAAAGAACTATATTTGAATTGCTATTATATCTTTCCTAGGTAAGTTCTTATTTAAATACTATGTATATAGAATCTCCTTATAACTACCATCAAAGTAACAAGAAATAAAATCAGAAACACGAGCATAATTATATATCTAAAATCAGATGGCTCACTTTCTCTATACAAGCAATATGCTCATATGCTAGTTAAGTACAGCTCACCAAGACAGTGGTTCCCAAAAAAATTACACCAACATTTTCGAAAATACCATTCTTAACAACATACGATACGACTATGTTCAAACTCAAAAGAAAACATTAGTTAGATAGCTAGGATTAAGATAACCAATGAGAAGCAATAAAGCAGAAATTTCAAATTAAAGATGACTGTTGTCCAGGCAATCTAGTAAAATATACTTCGTATATTAAATGAATTAAACCAAACACAAAAAGAAACAGAAAGCTTTCTAATAGATTATGCAACTGAAACAGAAAGAAGTTGAAAGGAACCAGTTGAAAATAGTTAAACACGATTTGGATAGTAGAATATGAAACGTTCTACAAATTAAAAAAATAAATAAAATAAAATAAACAAAAAAATGCTCCAGGAATAAGATCAGAACTAGGGTGGGAACATGGTACCGAGGTGAATAAAGTTGCTAGGAAAGTGAGGTTTAACAATGTTAGTATCGATATTATGTGAGACAAGTAGGTGTTTTTACCAATCTTTTTACTTGGAAGACAAGTATTAATCATGTTGTATCAATTTTATTGTTCATTTCCTCAATGTAGTAGGATCTAACAACCCTAGCCCCCTCACCGATCCAAAGTCGGATCTTGATCCCAACAACCTTGAATTAGATTAATGTACATGAGCTATTATCCTTCCTATCAGTAGAGTCATTACTTCTACTCTAAATTACTTCTCAAATTCACTACCAACATAACGTTCCTTCATATATACACCATATGGGAGGGGGAGGTGAGGGTGTAATGGAAATGAAGATAAAGAAAGATCTAAGAGCTACTCTAAAAGTAAAATGAGATACAGAGTACCAGCTAACAAATTAAATAAATGGGATGAAAAGAAAACACTTACTTGACCATTGTGATCAAAAACATATGGATAAGAAAGATGCCAATTTTCATCCAATGCTGTACCCAACTGTTCCCATGTCACTCCCTTATCAGTGCTTCTTGAAACACCAATGTCTCCTTGCATTGTTACTGAATTTTTGGTTTCATAGAACATGTATAACACATCTTCCTGCATTTAAAATTTAAAAGATGTTAGAAATGTCATTCAAGCTCTTTCATCAAAATGCTTGTGCATATGCGGATAGGAACTTGCAACATATTAATGATATCATTGGGAGTAAATAATATAACAAAACACATAGTTATTCAAATGAATCAAATCGTAGGAAAAGAAAAGCCAGCCTCAGAAATTAGACATTGAAGATTTATATCGAAATAAATTTTAAAAGATAAGCTGCTTTCATTACTTACATTACTTATGTTACACACAGCAAATACAATTCACAATTCCATTAATAACAACTGCCTCATCTCTTCTATAACTCACACAGGAGCAAGATCAAGAGCGAGAGAAAGAGGCAGCATCTTTGAAAAAAATGAAATCACGGTTATAGGAAACGGTAAATGACTAAATGGTAGAAAGTCTGAGGGGACTCAAGGGTTTAAAGCTATTCTAGCCAGAAATTCAAAGAAACTTCCAGACAAAGAAAGATGAAATCAGATTCAGGTATAACTGTCAAAGTTAGATAGTAAGAAAACTGGAGCCCTTTATAGGCCCGTATATTTCCATCTAATTGATAGAAAAACTTTTATTGTCACTGACAAGCAACTGTGTACATAGTCTTTTCTTTAAGGTCTAGCCTCCTCTTTTAGTAAAATGATGGAAGAATATGCATTCATGCATCATATTTACCGTATACTACCAGAACCTCAATATCATACATAATAGCCACATTTTGGACACATATAATGGATTTCATCATTCAATGTTGTATGCACATCACTTTAGAATTCACAGGCTCATGTGTTTAGGGTAACTGATACTCTATAAATTTATATCAGGACTGTAAGGTGCTAAGCATAAATCTTAGAGGGAAGAGGGGGGCACTTTAAGTAGTACTAGAAGCATTACAATTTAGTTACTTTAGTTATTAGTGGTTTGAAGAACAAGATAGCTAGTTACTTAGAGGAAAAACTCTGTAAATAGGGGAAATTAGTGAGCATTAGGATACATCGATAAATATGAGGCCATGAGGGTTTTCTTTAGCTTTGAAATTGTCAGGTGAGAGAAAATCAAACCCCTTGAAAGCATGAATATCCTTTACTTTCTGTTATTTTGGTTTATTAATCAAACTGCCATCTTCTTCCCTTATATGCCAATAAATTGTGCTCTAGCTATTTAGTCTCATAGCTGAAATGATCACCAGTTTTTTCTTTTTTTGGTTAATCAACGTGATAATTACTTATATTTCGGTACCATATATAGATGACAGTCATTATCAGATAACTTATCAGCTTTAAAACATCATAAAATTAATCAGGTGTCTTACTAATTTTCAATAAAGGCTTGAACAGTTGAAACCCCCCCCCCCCACCCCGGGAACAATTCCCCAAAGAGAGAGAGAGAGAGAAAGTAAATGGCTTGCTTACAGCTTACTATGGCAAATATTTATGTGCGAGTCAGAATATGTTGTACATATTAATAACAAATGAGAATCACCAGTTACTCATCTTCTCATGATTTTTCAGGCCTTCCCACAGAGCAACTGTTGTGGTTACCATTCCCAACAATTCATTCTCAAGTATAAGATTAATCCTCAAAGCATCTAAATCAAATTAGAAAAAGGCATTTATCAGGTTTATAACTATGTGGTATCTACTTCATCATTACAAGCTTAAGATTGAAAGTACAAATATTCAGAACAGATTATCTCATTTAATCCAGCAGGCAATCATCAACCAATGAGGCTAGAAAAATAAAGATGAGGGGTGGCAAACCATAAAAAGCTCGACAAATTGACAAGGATTGGATAGTTGTGAAAGAAGTTTTCTGACACAATGCAAAAGTACAAAACAAGAGCTCAGCCACTTTTCAAAAGCAATTCGGGCTTCTAGCATGATTCTATATGCACTTCCAATATCCATAAAATAGACACTGTAAAATGAATTGAGCAATATATATATATCCTTTGTTCCATCATTAAGTTGACTTTATTTAAACTCCACAACTACAAGCGCAAATTATACACTAAACCAACCCATAGCCTAAACTTTCTCAGTTTTACAAAAAAAATGCTGATTGCTGATCAATAACCTTAACCTTAACCTTAACCAGACGTTAAAAGGTCTCCACGCACCTCAATCTAGATAAGAGTTTACTAAAAGTATGATTTAATATCAAAACAAAGTATCGTAGAATCATATCAATCAAAAAACATCAATGTCGATAGAAATTAATCACATGCAAAGTCGCCAAAGGTGTGAAAGGCTAAAATAAGGGCATAGCTCACAAGAGCCAAAACCATCAGTCCATCACTGACAACATAACAAATGTACAACAAAATATCATTCTTTGCGAATAAGAGTTTACCAACAAAAGTCTCTAATACCCAAATGAAAGGAAAAAATAAAAACTTTGAACGACACATCGAAATCACCTTGAACAATAATCAAATTAAAAAATGCATGGTGTAGCTTTGTAAAACACAAAGATTTTGTATAACGGTCAAGAGCACTCTACTTTAAGTTTCAATCAAAATAAAATGACAAAATATAAAATAAGCGGATGCGTAAGGTGTTGAGCTGCACGCACACCACAACTCCACATTAATATGATATTGTTCGCTTTGGACCTAGCCTACACGGATTTTTTTTTGGGCTCATGCCCATAAGACCTCATACTAATGGAGTGTGCTCATACTTATAAGCATATAAGGATGTCAACCTCACAATATGGATGATTGCGAGTCCCGTGGGTGATGGCAGCGGTGCAAGATGATTTCGCTTGTGGGGAGCCTAGGAGGCCATGAGTTATGTAGTTATTGGCTTGAGGGGACGATTGTTGGGGTAGATAATCCAAGTCCCACGTGAAAGAATAAGGAAAAGAAGACATCCTTATAACTGTAAGCACACTCCATTAGAGTATGAGACCTTTAGGGAAGGAGTCCAAAAACAAATCTGTACGAGCTAGGCTCTAAGCGAACAATATCATACTAATGTGGAGTTGTGGTGTGCGTACAGCCCAACAAGATAGATAATTCGGGACCAACATAAGGTGACCCTAAAATGATCAAAAACACAATATAAAATAAGAGTCACCTATATTTTAATGATATAGTTGTTCGCTTCACAAAAAAATTTACCTTGTAAAAATCAATCCTAGTGTATAAAGGTAACCTATTATCCTTTATAACACTAACCCCTTAAAAATCAACACAAATCAAAAATTAACTTAAATCAAGTTAAAGTTACCCCAAATGTGGTAAAAAGTAACTCTAAAATGGGCATTGTAGATATAGTGCACCCAAAATTTTTGAAAAAAATATACAATGGTGTACTTTTTAGGCTTCTTAGGCCATGTTTGGTCATTAGTGACTAGTTAGTAAGAGTTAGTTGCATTCGCTGGTTTGACTAGGTAGTTGTATTAAATATTTTGACTAGCTAGTGCCTAGTTATATAATTATATTAGCTATTTGTACAAAAGTGCTTAGTAAGTTTAAATGATAACTTGTAGGTTATAGCTATATTGTAACTTGAGCATGTGCAATGAAAAATAAGCACTAGAATAGGGCAATAAATTAAGATGGTAAGGATGTAAATTTCATAACTTTAGAACAAAGTTGTCATTTTGATAAAATTTCACAACCAACCAGCCTAAAATTTTCCTGTTTCCACCTTTCTAGAAATCAGAGGGTTGGGCACAGCTCACTCATTGAATTAACTCTTTACCAAACATTCAAAATAGTGAATTTATGGAGTGAGCCCTTTAAATAGGTCAATTCAGCTCACCTTTGGTCATAACACTCTTTACTAAATAAGGCCTTAATCTTATTCAATACATTTACTAAAGGATTTCAACTAACTAAAATTCAATTTATTTGTTCATTACTTCATTACATCCAAGAAGCACCATTTCAACAATACACTATCTTGCGGACTCCACCTTTACCCCTCTCCTGGCCTCTTCACCTCTACCACACCTATTCCAATCAATGGAGTAACCATCTTGAAAAGTAATGATTATATATTGGGGGAATTTAAAAATAAAGTCTCAGAGCATAAGAGCAGTGAACAGTGGATCACAAATCATATAGAAAGGTGATTAAAGAGGTATAATCTTGCCCATGGATCTGCTCCAACAAATAGTTCACGTGCTGAATCTAACTTTACAGTTTACACATTATGATTTGGTGAAACGACAAATTATTGTAATTAAGTCAAAGCAAAATCTATTAGAGCTATAAATTTTTTCAAAGGAAACGGCTTTAAGAATATAAGAACAGACCCAAAAACAAAATTCCGAAAATATCAGGATTCTTAATGCTACTGCTTACTTGGATATAGAGAAAAGGATCCGCAACAAAGTTACTGGGATAGCCAGACTCAGAAGCTGATGCGCAGGTAATCACTGGATTGGCCAGAGGCCAAGCTGCACTCTCATTCTTCCACACATTTTTCTGAACACAGAAGGCCAACAATCAATATGCATCCAAGAAAAATAAAAATAAAAATAAAAATATTACAAGAATACTAACATCTTCAATAGGTTGGAGAGAGAAAGGGGAGGCGCCATAGAAAACACCAATAGACCAAGAACCCTCATTGTCTACTTGGCAGCCAAGGGAGGGCACTAGATAAGGAGTTCGGACAAAAGGGCTGAACACAAGCCAGGCATAGAGTGATGCAATTGCACCAAAGAGCAAGAAAGCACTAACGAAGAACACGAATGCTGGTGAGAAAACCCAGTTTTGTTGTTTCTGTTCAAATTTCATTTCTCAAGTATCAACCTCCTTCCTCAAATTTCTCAAAACCCCACTTCTTTTCAGGAAGAAACACATGTGCTACGCTTTACTAGTCTGCAATTAAAAAGCGCATTCGAGATCATTCACATTAAAATATTCAACCCCCCACTTCACAAAATATGAATCATGCAACCTTTAAATGTCACAGCTACATCATAAAGAGTATCATGAGCAAAAGACGAACATCGGGGAAGAATTAGACAATCAGCTAAACTCTAGTGTATTAGGTGAACAACCCAATCACCCATTTTGTCACTAAAACCAATCATATTCTCATAGAACAATATTCAAATCAAATAGGTAAAAAAAAAAAAACTACACAAATTGTTAATACCATAAAATGGCAATCAAATCACTTCCCACAAAACTTGAAACTTACAAAACATAATCGAAAGCTCAATTCGATACAATGACATAAAAACACAAGCTGATAAACTACATCACCCCAATTTTTCAATCTCAGAAAAAATGAGCAAATACTATCAAAAAACACTGTAATAAAGCAGAAACCTAACAGAGCTAACAAATCAAGAACTAAAACAGATTCAATCTACAAAAACACAATCAATTCCAAAAAATAACCTAGAATTGAACTTCCACCGAAAAATGCCAACAAAATCAGTAACACAAAATCAAAAACAACAAATCGATCTGCATAAAAAGAAATCAAAAGAATAAGGACGAGAAAACGAGAAAAATACCTGAAAAAGTTAGTTAGAAGACGAAAAAGGCATAAAAATGGCGGCTGAAGAGAAGAGAAGAAGGAAGAAAAGTGGAGGAGTGGTGGAATACAGCGTTAAAGAGTAGGAGTCTGAATTATAAGTTATTTGTCCAAAAGACAAACTCAGGAAATTTACGAGTAGCATCATTACGCCGGCGCGTTCGGAATGGACTAATATTATCAAATACAACATTGAAATCTTGAATTTTGAAAATTGAATATTATAATATACACATTTGTTGAAAATTGGAAAATTATTGAGGTTAAGAAAATTAAACAATAGGGAAGTTTTGGAGTGGAAGCAATAAGGGGGTTGGAAAGGGAGAGGATTGGAATTATGCGAATGAAAGAATTAGTTTGTGGCTGTTATGGAGTATTTTTGGTGATTAAAACGAATTTGTTAGTGAATTAGAGAGGATCTTGAGAATTAAGGTTTGTAAGATTCCATTTTATATTTCTTAGGGTTTGTTTGTTTCATTTTTTTTTAACTTAATTAAAAAAAAATAATTCAGAAAGTTTCATAAATAAAATAATTTCAGAAATATAGTCAAATAAGTTCACTTTATATGATTTTAGACAAAATAAGTTCAGAAAATTCAATGAAATAAATTCAAACAAAATAAAATAAGTTTGAATACGTTTGATAAAATAAAATAAGTTCAAGTAAATTGTGATATAATGAAATAAGTTCATTTAAGTTCAAACACAATAAAATAAGTTCATATATAATTAAATAAGTTGAGATTACATAAATTCAAACAAAATTAGATGACCTTAGATTCTTTAAACATTTACTTATATTATCTCTAGTGCAACAAAATCAACAAACTTAGCTATCTTCCTAAAACATCATTATTAGTTTATAATGTAACTAAGTGTAATAAGTTGACTCAAAGAAAATATGATGTAGATCTTAACCTATAAACACTCCTTCTCCTATGTTTACATCAAATATTAATCTATTCTTAAAGTTATATTGACTCTTAAAATGCCTACCTAGCATAATCTTAATTTTCCTCCAAATCTAAAGCCTAGATCTGACCCGTACTTCCCGAGTCTCAAAATATTAAACCCAAATCGTTAAAAATAGGTTGAGTATGGTTGGATTTGGGTGTGGCATTAAACTTATGCATAGCAATGATAACAAGATCAAGCTAATGGAATTTCATTCTTCGTATGCACCAAATTTAAGCTAGGATGACAAGCAATGGGGCGTGGACTTAAATCTAGACACAATCAAACACCCCCCCTATTTATAGTCTTGACTCTCTTGAATCCAAAAATCTATAATATTATTAACACTCAAAGGGGTAACATGTTGATGACATGTGTCACTCTTATGTCATAATAAGATTTATAAAATGGCGCTACCTCGGTAATGACATGACGCTACATATAAATATTTTGACCAAATTCAAACCCTGGCAGCTGGCACTTCTTGGAATTTTCAAATTTTAATACCACTGTTTTATACTTCTATCAAGTAGACAATTATTCCACATTGATTCCTTTTTTACTCTATTTTAGGGGTGTTCAAAAATTGGTTCGGGTCAAATAAATGGATCGGACCGGTCCGGACTGACCCGGACCAAATTAATCGGTCTGGTCTCCAGGGCGAGAAATTTATTTTTCCAGTCCGGTCCAAACCCCTATAAAAATAGTTTTAGACCGAACCGGTTTTTTGCTTAAAATTATACATAAAATCTTTAATAATGATTAAGATTATCCTTAACAAGCTTGAAAAGCTTTAGTCGTATGAGCTTTTTTGTATTAAACTTACAAAAAAAGGACGTTAAAATATTATTTTTCCTTTATTTTTTTCCGAGTTATCTATAAATTATTTAAAATTTAGAAAAAAAATTTATAAAAATTCTAAAATAGTTCCAAACCGGTCTGGTCCGGGTTTTGGATCAATTTTTTCGGTCAGGTCCGGGTTCGGTCCTAGCTTAATCGGTTCGATTTTTAGTTCTTGAAATTCAAATTTTCGGCCTTCGGTCCGGTCTGGTCTTGGACCGATGAAAAACCCTACTCTATTGTATTTGTTGTTTTTATTCCACGATTACTATCACTTTATTATTTAATTAACATTCATGAGTTGGACTTACTTGCAATTTTAAATGTTTCCTAATTAACAGCTTGACCACTAGAGCTAGAATATGCAATTAGGTTGGCCAAGCTGATCAGCTTTCCAAGCTAATTTGCTTAAAAAAAAATAAAAAAATAAAAAAAAAGGCTTGCCAAAAAGAAAATGCTAAAAGTAAATTAATAATTTAAATTATTATTTTCCTTGAGTTGCTTACAATGACTTCTTCACCTCTAATTGATCATTATTATTAATTATTAGTAATTTTGATTAAAAGTGGGACAAACAAAAAGGAATAAAAAAACTACTACTAGTAACTAATAACTACAGAGTAGTAATTATTATTCTTTTTTTTTTAAAAAAAAAAGTAGCTAATAAATATTAATGGTAGGTCCTTCCACCCCCCAATGGCGGCGGTTCAATCCGCATCCCCCTCTTGTGATAAGAGGGGCCTCCCCGTATCTTACCGTTAAAAAATATTAGTTTTTATCTATAATTTAACTATATACTAAATGCGAAATCAGGAATGACACATGTCATCTTCTTATTGAAAAAAATTCCTCTAAAAGGTTTTTTTTTTTTTTTTTTTGGCCAAGGCTTCTTAGAGAAGTATTTAATACTTACTATACAATAATGCTTCTCATCCTATTTGATAAGTACGTATATTCCATTTATACACATTCAACAAAAATATTTTTTCTTTTATATAATACTATGCAATTATAACTTTATGATGTAATCCATGGTTATTTTTAATAATCGTGTATGTATTTCTCCCTCTATTTTCCAATCTATTACTTTGTGATGTAATCCATAGATATAAATTTTTATAATTAAATAATAGTGTTAAACTGTTGAAACCCATTGTAACCCACTCGTGAGTGTCCCACGTTGGAGAAAGAGGAGATATAGTTTCACTTTATAAGATAGAGGAGTTACTCCTACTATTGCCAAATGGTTTTAGTATGGAAGCTCCTAAGTCTTGTTTGTGGACCAAACTCTCCTTCTCTTTGTTCGGGTTGCCCAAGTCCATTTCATATTGTCTCGAAATTTAACATAAACTAATGATAAATATTGAAAATTATCGTGTATGTCACGGGACATAACCTAGTTAATTGATAAAATTAAATCATATATTAATAACATAATACTAAAACAGACACCAAGAATGACACATGTCAATTCCTGGTGTAGTTCTTTTCCCCTTAAAAAATACCTCTTTCCTTTTTTGCTAAAATCTTCATTGAGAATTTTAGTATAATGTATATAGCTATCATAATATTATTCCAAATATTTTATACATACCTTCTATTTTATTATAATAGGACAATACATCCTAATACATATTACTCTATATGCCATATCTTAATATATCATAAATTATTCATTCAAATGATTAATTTATTTTAAATAAGGTAATTTTACTACAGTATTTAAAATGATTCGTACTACACAAATCATTATTATTATTATTACTAGCATTGTGCCCGTGAAATACATGGTTTATAAATCAAATCAGGGTTGTCTCCGGCAATTTGGTGGCCCTAACTATAAAAATTGGGCCCTTAAATTTTTGAAGGACTATTTTTAAAAGGTTAAAAATATTATTATTATAAAATGACTTTTTTACAGTAAAGTACAACAAATTATAGAGCCAAAATTATGAGTGCTTCCAATAACATATTTTCCACCTTTCGAAATGAGTTAAAATTGAAAAAAAAAGGTGAGGATTGTAATTTTTTTGTAGGTATTGCTTGATCTTGAAATTGATATAAATAAATAAAAATTTAGCCGTTGATATCAATTGAATCGACATCAGAATTGATTCCGATAGAGAATAAATTGTACCTTCAATTTTGCCTAAAAATAGTAGAAGAATTAAGTGAATTGGAGATAGTTAGGCAAATTAGCCGTTTAGGAGAGATAATTATTGAGGGAATTTAATTTTGTTTTGGAAATTAAAAGGCAAAAATCAAAGATTTAGGAAGAACTTTTGGGTTTTAGTTTGAAAATGGTGGTTTTTACGGGGAAGAAGGTGAATACGTAAGGTTATGATTTTATTTTATTTTTTTATGAGTCAGCGTTTTTTTACAAAAATTATGGACCCCTGATTTTTGGGGGCCCTGTTCTGTGGGTGAGAAAAATCCGGTCCAAAGCTGGGCCTGAATCAAACTATTCATTCCGCAGGAAAAAAAAAACAAAGATAATTCAATTAGTAATAAGTTGTGAAAAAAGATATACTTGTAAAAAAATTGTTGAAATTAAATAAACAATAATAACACATTCATAAATATATAAACTATGAAAAATATTTATCATATTGGAAATATAATCAATTATTTGGAATCAATCAAAGTCAACAAAATACATTTTAAAATCAATGCAATTATATGATATATTGATTACACATGAAATAATATGGATATAAATAACAATTTATACAATAAAAGATATGGAAAATATGTGAATTACAAATAAATATTTTTTTTAGGAAAGTGAATCACAAGTATATGATTTGATGAATATATATATATAAAGAATAATTTAAAATAAGTAGTTAAGGTTATAAAAAATAAAAATAAAAAAAACGATTTTGGATGGAAAAAACAGCACCAGAAAATGACACGTGTTATTCCTGGTGTCTGTTTTAGTACTATGTTATTGATCATTGATGATAATAATAATAACAATAATAATAATAATAATAATAATAATCCGGCAGCTTTCCGACGGCTTTAGGTGCGGTTAGGTCAGGGACAGGGCTCTTGGTTGGTGTGCAATCAAATCAGGCGAAATTCAGGTCCTCTCAACGCTATTTCGGTGCAGTGTTTGGGTGAATATCAGGAGGGTTCGGGCTACACTTTTGCAGTCTTGTAGTCGGTTTTCAGGCGGCTTTAAGCCAGCTTCTCCAGCGACGTTTCCATTTTCCGACGACTTTGAGGGTGGTTTTTCGGGCGATTTTGGGGCTATTTCCGGGCAGGTTTTCGGGGCTGTTTTCAGGCGAATTCTGGTCTTTTTGAGGCGATTTTGAGGCTGTTTTTGAGCGTGTTTTAGGCTGCGTTTTATTGCGGCAATTTCTGGTGCAGTTTCGAGTGCTTTTGGGTGCTATTTTTGGTCTGTTTTCGGCAATTTCTGGCGTAATTTAGGTCAGTTTGCTTGCGTTTTGGCTATGGTTTAGGTTTGGTTGCGGGCTGGTGTTTCTGGTCTATTTGTGGCCAGTTGTTCTAGTGCATTTTGGGTGTTTTTTTTTGTTGTTAAAGGTTGTGGTGAGGCTGTTGTTGCAGGCAGTGGTGAGGCTGTGGTTTATTTGAGCTATTTCTCGACGATTTCGGGTGTATTTTTGGTGCAGTTTTGCGTGTTTTTTTGGTTTCTTACGGCTGTTTTATGCTGTAGT